GTCTCTGACCCTGTCTGTCCTCCGTCCGTTGGGGGTGCACCTGCCCTTGGCATTGACGTTCTAGAGGACCGATAGTACAAGCTTGCTTTCCTGTCTGAGGCTGCTCCCCATCTCTGCTCCAAGCTGCTAGTCCCTGAGGGTGACCGAGACGCCTTTGACATCCCGACCCCTCGCACTTACGCTGAGGCGACCTCGGAACCCTGGGCCTCTCAGTGGATAGCTGTTATGGAGCAGGAGATGGCATCTTGGAGATCCACCGGCACCTACGTCGACGCAGTTCCCACACCTGGGGTGAACGTAGTCCATGGCCGGTGGCTCTTCAAGGTGAAGCGCCCTCCTGGAGAGCCGCCAGTGTTCAAGGTGCGCTACGTGGCTAGAGGCTTCAGTCAGCGAGAGGGGGTGGATTTCTTTCAGACCTTCGCCCCGACCCCGAAGATGACTATTCTTCGGGTGCTGCTATACATAGCAGCACGGCGTGACTACGAGTTACACTCCCTCGACCTCTCCATTGCATTTCTTCAGGGCAGCCTACACGAAGAGGTCTACCTGCGCCGTCCTAAGGGCTTTACTGGTACTTTCCCTCCTAGAACCCAGTGGCTCCTTTGGCGCCCAGTCTACGGCCTGCGACAGGCGCCCCGTAAGTGGCATGACACGCTGCGCGCTACGCTAGCTGACCTGCAGTTCTTTTCGTCCTCTGCAGACCCCTCGCTCTTCGTTCGTGCTGGCCAGACTCCGTTCTACATTCGTGTCTACATAGACAACCTGGTCTTCACCACTGTAGACGGTGACACGCTGGCCTTCGTGAAGGCCAAGCTGCTGAGGAGACACACCTGCACTGACCCAGGAGAGCTGCGCCGCTACCTTGGCCTGCAGATCTCCAGGGACAGAGCAGCGCGCACCATCACTCTCTCGCAGGTCCTTTAGAGGTTTGATTTTCTGTTCTCCTCCGCTCAGCCCACACCTCTTCCAGTAGATCACAGGGTCTGAGCTCCAGTTCCTGGGGAGTCAGTAGCAGGGCTGACGTTTAAAAAAAAGGCACTCTGATTTTGCCCCGCAAAAATTTTCCCGAGTCTGAAGGGTCATTTTTCAAGATTTCTCTACCCTGAAATCTCAGTGTCCAAGATTTAACGAGTCTGAAATACTCAGGGTTCAGAATGTCGACTCAGAGTCCTGCGCCCCAGTCGAATCTTGTATTTGCAGAGTTCACACCAGGGTCTCAGATACGTTTTATGGAGGCTGATTGCTCAGGCCTACCCTTATGAGAACCCATTTTTGTTAGGGTAGTTTTTATTTGATTGCCTGAAATTTCAGGCTGAATTTTCCGTAAAGCTGACGAATCAGGCCTGGGTTTTGAAACGTGCTTTATCAGTGACGATGGCTGCAGTTCCCCGCGTAATCGAAGGAAAAGTTGTGTTCTCAGGAACTGCCGAAACCCCACCAACTTCCTGTATCCGTGCAGTTTGTGCTAACGACGAATCACGTCCCTCGCGCACGCCTGCTCTAGCCTTCCTCGGGCAACCAGCGTGATACAGTACTTGGTCTAAGGACTAGTCACGCTCCTCATAATTGCTCCTAGGTACAGTACCTCGGACTTTTGCGTGATTTTGGTCTGACGGCCAATCACAGCCTCACACCTGCTCCGGGTACAGTGAAGCATGTCGAAGGACAATGCGTGTACAGTACACCAGCAAGGAGTTTGTCTGTGATGGGTCATTGTAAGTCTGTGATTGGTTGTTGAGGGACTTGTGCCACCCGCTCAGAGGACGACAAAAAAAATCAGGGGAAAGGGGATGCGGGGAGAATGTCTTTAAAAATGGAAGACTTAACCAATTTTTGTGGGTGTTGGGGGTGTTAGAGGGGTGTCTCTTGAACAGGACTACAGCGATTTCTATGGGCTGCTGGTTGTGCTGGGGGGGACTGTCTCTGGCTGCAAAGACTTAGCCAGATTTTATAGGTTGCGGGGCGGGGTGTGTGAAAGGACTTGCCTCTGGCTGTAGGGGATTTGGACGAAAATTTTGGGTGAGGGCAGGTAGGTATGTCTGTCTCAGGGACCGTACGCGCTGTGCAATGAAAACTCAGTATCCACAAACTGCCAAGTCTGAGATTCTCAGGATTAAAAAACATATAACTCTGAAGGGTTCAGCATTCAGAAATTGGCAAGTCTGAAAAATCAGGATCGACAAAAAAATAGGTCTGAAATTTCAGACAATCATACTAAAATATTCTGATAAAATCAGGCCTGGTCAGTAGAGCCCAGTGGTCCTTATGTAGAGCTGGTGGGTTGCCTCATGTACCTGATGACTTGCACTCGTCTAGATCTCGCGTACCCTCTCAGCATCCTAGCTCGCTTTGTGGCCACAGGTAGACACTGACCATAGCATCGGTCGGCTGCTAAGAGGGTTTTGCGTTATCTAGCAAGTACATCGGGCATGAGGTAAGTGCTGGGAGGACGTAGGCCAGTGGTCCTTACTGGGCACACAGACGCTTCCTGGGCAGACGACGCTGAGACCCTCAGGTCCTCCTAGGGCTACCGTTTTAGCCTTCGTTCAGGTGCTCAGTCTTGATGTGAGGCTGAGATCTACGTCGGTGCCATGGCGGCACAGGAGCTCCGCTGGCTGGCCTTCTTTTTCACCGACTTAGGGGAGCGGCCTAGCTCTGCCTCTGTCCTGCACGCTGACAACATGACCATGATCCTCTTGTGTCAGAAGCCTCGACTTGAGGGCAGAGCGAAGCACATCTAGCTGCGGTACTTCTTCCTGAATGAGCTACAGCAGCGCCGCCAGGCCTGCGTAGTACACTTGGCCTCCGGTTCCACCACTGTTGATATCTTTACTAAGGCGCTTGCGCCTAAAGATCATCAGCGGCACTGTGTACAGCTGGTCTAGTTTCAGTAGATTCTCACTTCCTAGGATCTTGATTGTGTACTCCTTTATATTTATGTCTTTCAGACTGGCCTTGTGGCTTCTCTTCCAGTGGTCGGACTAGTAGTGCCGCCTTGGTTTCTCTTATCTTGTTTGTACTCTTGCTGACTGGTCTTCTGACCCCTGTCTCAGAGGTTGGACAAGTAGTGCCATCCTGAGCTGTGTGCTTCTTGCTCAGCACTGCCCCTTATCTAGCCTAGGGGTTGTGTCAACTTATACATACATTTGTATGTACCGTATTCCCCCGGATAAAACACCCGCCGGAATTAATCACCCATAGGTGGTTTGGGCGGACCTGGGTGCTTTATTAAACTGGATATTCATACCACCTTAGTTTTTGGCATAAAACCTATACACCACCCCCCTGGTTCGTTTTCACTGTATTTCTTTAGATTTTGCCTCTTATCAGAGTGTCTCTTATCAGACTTGCACGTCACTGATCAGTGCGAGCTCGACGCGAATTGGTTCAATGCGGTGTAAAACTGTTACCATGCTTGGAATTCTCGTCACTCATGCGAATGTTGCGAGTCTGATACGAGGCTCACGGGAACACACTCCTCACAGTCAACACTGCACCGCGGGAGAATCCATGTCGGTCGGCCCTGGTTGGGTCGTGAAAGGAATGTGCAGCAGATTCCTTCCGGCTTTGGTGCGCTGTCACATTGTGGCGTCGAGGTTGCCACTTGCCACCACGATCTGATAGTACGTGACAACATGTGACGCAGGCAACTTGTGATTGTTTGCCTGCATTGTGGCATAACGATGGTCCTCCTCACCATATACGCGATCATGTGCAAGGATCGTAAAAAAATGGCACAAAAGAACTGTCTACAATACAGTTCAATTCCACTTCATAAACATAAAATTGTCATTCCATAGCCCCCGGGCGTTATACAAAATGTGCCATTAATTATACCCCCTCGAAATTTTACATGGGTTTTCACTTACACCCCTGGGTGTTTTATCCGGGGAAATACGGTAGTAGTGATAGGCTAGAATAGATGTGTGTTCTTAGATAGTATAATCCAAACCCTATACCTCCCTTATTCTCTCTGCTTTCTATTTATTCTATTATTCTAACAGATATATGATTGTACAGCTGTTTGCACCTTCGTGGACGTCCTATCCCCAGAGGAAAACTAGGAAAATACATTTTGTAATGCTTTATGTTGGAGAAAGCGCCTAAATCAAAGTCCTTTATTGTAGTTGCTTTATGCTGTATCACAACAAACAACTTCGCCTGCAGAATATGTTACGTTTCGCGGAACCATGTAAGGAATTAACATTCCTTACTGCGCTGAACTACAGCGCGTACACCCGAAGACCTGGAACTCGCAGGTTCGGCCATTATTGTCGGCCCAAACCTCCCCGAGTCGCGTTCCGACACCCTCGACACCCAACCAAACCATTCACGTCCCGAGGTCCTCGCCCTAGCTCGTCCTAGCACGTCCGTGCCCTATTTTAGCCAGTTCGCTCGTCACTTGTAGACATTATTTTTCCTGGGTTCTATTCCCATTATTGAGTGGCTGTTCCATTCCCACTCATAACAAACCAGGTGACGACTTTATGGTGGTGTGCCCTCGTGGCAGGCGGAGTCCGTTCCGTGCGCCTGCTGGTCCGCGTGAAGTCAAGGTCAACCTCCTCGTCGTCTCTGCGCACACCCAAACATACTCAACCTCTGCGCTGCGCCTGACCCGCGGGTGAGTGAAGAAGAGTCAGTTCCCCCGCAAAACCAACCTCCGCTTCGCCGGTTTTGTCCGCTGGTCCAATCAGGTCAGCGGACAAAACCGGCGAGCAAAGCATCAACCGGCGGACAAAACCGGCCCGCCACAGCAAAGCATCCGCGCAAGGTGGTGAGCAGTGCGCGTACTGTGCGCTTTCCGCACCAACTTGGTGGTTCTTTGTGCTGTTGCCCCAGCCCCCGGGTCTGGGGGGGAAGACTCCGCGGAGCACCTTGAGCGATGGCGGCAGACTCTAGGTCAACAGCTCACCTCGAAAATGTCAGGACTCAGCTGTTCGTTCAGCAGTCACTCTTTACAGTACAGTACATCCATTCTCATTCTTAGTTCCAGGTTCTCGGTTTCTCCTTGTCAGTCTTTTTCCCATGTCTGCACTCTTCCCCTCCTCTTGCGCTATCTCTCTTGTTTGCACGTATGGACCCAGAGCCTGCCTGCACCCACTAGCTAACGCATAGAACTCACTCGAGCCTAACCCTTGCGATGATTCGGATTAATCTAGCACTGACACTGACATCCAAGCCTGACATTAATCTAAGCCTGAAATTGACACTGTCACTAATTCCGTCCACGTCATCCAGAAGCATCTTCGCGATGGACTCACTCTTGCCGGCCTGGAGTGTCTGACGCTACCGTACCGTACCGTTCCACACCACCGAGCTCCTCTCGCAGCCTGGAGAAGTTTTCGTTAGAATACTCGCTATGGAGTCTTCAGCTGGTTTTTAAGAATCCTTAATAACCAACTCAGCTCCTCTCTGAGGTTGGAGGAGTTCGCGTTAGAATCACTCGCCATGGAGTCTTCAGCGTGCATCGGCGGTGCTGCTCCTCCGAGCCTCCTTCAGGGGGTCCCGAGCCTCCGTCAGGCTCGGCAAGACCATTACCCCCCGTCCATTCGTCCTGCCGGAGTCGCGAATAGCGGCGACCTGCTGCCGCCACCTGCTATAGAGCTAGGCGAGCGACGCGACCCAATATCCCTCGAGCCAATCATAAGCCCGCCTACTATCCGCCGGACCGCGTCGATAGGTACCAGCAGCGGTAGGGACTTTCACATGTCCCTGCCTCAGATACCTCCTCCTGTCGTCCCGGGACCCGCCTTAATAGTGATGTCAGACGAAGCCGATTTAGACACCGGCATAAGCATAATTTGTCCACCCAGAAATGGGCTCCTATTTAGCCCTACCGACGAAAGCGAGAAATCCAGCGAAACCGGCGAAACTGGCCGAGGCGCCTCAGGCCGTCTGGCCACGTCCGGAGCTGGCCCGGCGGTTCGGAAAGGCTCGCCGAGCCTGAGCCGCGCGAGGCTCGGATTGGGCGAAATCCGGCTAGACCTGGGTGCGTTGCGCGCGCGCACGGAGCGGGATTTCAACTCGGAAGCGATGGAAGTGCGCGCGCGGAAGGAGAAGTTCGCGTTCTTCGAAAAGGACTGCAGCCGCGTGCTGGAGCATGTGTTCGTGGGGAGCGACTTTGTGGCGCGCAGCAGGGAGATTCTAGGGGAGGCGGGCATCACGCACGTGCTTAATTGTGTGGGGTTCGTGTGCCCAGAGTACTTCCCCGGGGATATCGTCTACAAGACGCTCTGGCTGCAGGTGAGGGAAGAGAGTTAGTAGCACGCTTTGGCTGCAAGTGAGGGGAGAGAGTGAGGTGCAGGTGAGGGAAGAGAGTGAGGTGCAGGTGAGGGAAGAGAGTGAGGAGCAGGTGAGTTGAAAGCTCTGTTTGGTTGGCATGTGTGCTCAACTGCGTGGGGTTCGTGTGCCCGGAGTACTTCCCCGGGGATATCGTCTACAAGACGCTGTGGCTGCAGGTGAGGGGAGAGAGTTAGTAGCACGCTTTGGCTGCAAGTGAGGGGAGAGAGTTAGCAGGACATAACCTGCGTGCCATGCGACGCCCCTGATTACATCGAGGGGGCGAGGGCGGCCAACGCTGTTCATCCTTGCACCCGTCTCCGTCTCCCCCTCCCGCCCCCCAACCCCCCCCCCCCCGCCTTTCCCCGCAGGACAATACAGCGGAGGACATAACGTGTGTGCTGTACGACGTGTTTGACTACATCGAGGGTGTGCGGGAGAGCGGCGGGCGTGTGTTCGTGCACTGCTGCCAGGGCGTCTCGCGCTCCACGTCGCTCGTGATCGCCTACCTCATGTGGACGCAGGTAAGGGGGAAGAACCTCATGACGAGTTATCTGTTAACGAGTATCACTTGCTCCACGTCCCTCCCTCGGTATCGCCTATCTCATGTGGGCGCAGGCAGGACGAGCAAGAGAACTATTGATGAGTTAAATGTTAGCTAGTCTTACTTGCTCCACGTCCCTCCCTCGTTATTGCCCACCTCATGTGGTCGCAGGTAAGGAGGGCAAGAACCTCGTAACGAGTTCTTTCTAAACGAGTATTCTCCAGGCGCTTGGCTAGGATTCCGTTTTTGAGGCGTTGTTTAGTTTCCTGAAAATCCAACTGTCATTTGCCCGATGCTTGGCTACGTTTGGCACGCCATGAAATCGCAACCCGCGGCCGTCCCATCGCCATCCCTCCTTCCGCCCTCGTTCTGTTGGCTTGTCATCCCAAGTATCCAATGCCCCTCCCTCCCCCCTCCCCCCCCCTTCCCACGTCCACTTGCTGGCCCCCCAACTCCCACCTCCTTTCCCTCTCCCCGCACATTCCCCTCCTCCAGAACGCCCTTCCGCCCCTCCCTACCCCGCCCCACGCTCCTCTTGCTTGACTTCACTCTCTCCCACCACCCCCCATGTCCCTGTGTACAATCGCCCCTCTCCCTCTCACCCCGTTCCCCCCCACCTCACCGCACCCGTCCAGAGGATGGAGTTCGAGGAGGCGTTTCGGCGGGTGGAGGCAGTGCGGGGCGTGGCGAGCCCCAACATGGGCGATTGCGCCATCTCCCTTCTCCCCACCCTCTCACTCCGCTCCCTCTCAACCCGCTCCCCTCTCAACCCGCTCCCCTCTCCCCCGCCCGACCAGAGGATGGAGTTCGAGGAGGCGTTTCGGCGGGTGAAGGCGGTGCGGGGCGTGGCCAGCCCCAACATGGGCTTCGCCTGCCAGCTGCTGCAGTGGCAGAAGCGAGTGCTGCCGCCCAAACCACCCCCTGCAGCAACTCCAGCATTAGCAGATGTAGCAGTGTCAACAACACCAGCAGACACTGCAGCGCCAGCACCAGCAGCAGCAGGAGCCTCTTCGTTACCACCACCATCGTCCAAATCCCCGCCGCTGTCAGCAGCAGCATTGCCGGGCGGCGTGGTTCGGCAGCACATGTACCGCATGGCGCCGCACTCCCCCTACGATGCCCTCCACCTGGTCCCCAAAACCGTCCCTTTCTCTCGCGCCTCACTGGACCCCCGCGGGTGCTTTCTGGTGCAGGTGGGACCTGCCCTGTACTGCTGGCAGGGGCGAGATTGCCACCCCCTCATGGCGCAACAAGGCCTTGCCACAGCCAAGCAGATCATTAAGTATGAAGATTTGGGCGGGGAGCCGGTGCTGGTGATGGGCGGGCAGGAGACGGAAGTTTTTCTGGCTGCCCTTGGGGATGGGGGTGGTGGTGGGGGAGGGGTTGGGGGCGGGAGGGGAGGGTGTGTGGGGGGGGTGGGGCAGGGGCGGATGCTGAGCTGATGAAAGTTGTGGCTCGGCAGGGGCTGACGTACCTTGGGCAGGATGCAAAACTTTTAGATGCTGGAGGAAAGAGTAGTGGCAAGGAGGGGTCTGATGTGACTGCAGCAGCTGCGGTGCCAGAAGCAATAGAAGTAATAGCAGTGAGTGTAAATGCCCCAACCACGCTAGAAGCAACAGCACCAGGAACACCAGCAGCAGCAGTGACCGCTGTGCCCGACTCATCAGCTTCGGCTTCAGCGAGCAGCCCAGCAGCAGCAGCAGAGCCATCGCCACACGCAGCTGACACGTCCGACTCTCATCTCTCGCCCTCAACTCTCTCCTCCACCTCTAAAAGCGCAGCCCCGTTACAGCCTAACTCGACAACCCTTTCACCACCCAAGGCAATCACCTCAACACCACCTGTCCACCCTCCTGCTCCCTCCCTGCCGCACGCTGCTTCTACCCCAAACCCCACTCACACCCCCGCCTCTCCTGTACCTCCCGACCCTCCTTCTCAACCCACCACGTCCGGATCCCCAGGCTTCTTGGCCTTCCGAACCTCGTCCTCCATAATAGGCTCGGGATCCATCTTCGGTGCGGTGGACAGGTTCGCGCAGAAGCTCCGGCGCCGAAGCTGGGACCGCAAGGAAGCGGAGCAGCTTCGGAAGATAGCTGCGGCGGTGGAAAGGGAAGGCACGGGAAGGAAAGAGAGAGGCAAGGATGGAAAGGTGGGGGCAGAGGGGAAGGGACGGAAGGGAGAAGAGACTTCTTCAGAAGACAGTGGAGCAGCAGCAGGAGCAGAAGCAGCAGGAGGGGGGGAGGAGAAGGAGGAGGAGGGGCGGGTAGACGCAAAGGCAAAGAGGGTCGGACAAGGAGGAGTGAGAGCCTATCAGAGGAGCAGCTGGAAGCCTTAGCAGGGCAGCTGCGGTGTGGGGGGCTGCTAGACCCCTCTGACATCCGCCTGCGCAGGCCGTTCCTTAGAGGGCTGGGGCGCGCTGGGGGGGGTGCAGACTGGGGCAGGCGGAAGCTGGCACAGGGGGAGGGGGGTGGGGAAGGGGGGAAGGTGAGGAGGGGCGTGGGGGGGTGAGGTAGTGGAGGAGGGGGGAGGGGGGCAGGGAGGAGAGGGAGAGGAAGGGAGTGTGGAGGAGCGAGAGAGTGGGGAAGGGGGGTAGCAGGGGAGGAGGCGGTGGGGGGAGAGGATGGGCGGGCGGAGAGAGGGCGGACAGGGGGTCGGAAGAAGAGGGGTGAGGGGCGGGGGATGAGGGCTCTGTCTCCAATGCGCCTGCTGGCGAAGCTGTCAGGGGCAGCAGGGGGGGAGAGGGAGCAGAGGGAGCAGAGGGTTGTGGGAGAGGGCGGAGAAGGCGTGCCGGTGAGCAGCAGTGGAGTGATGTGCCTGCGGCTGACTGCAGTGTCATCGCCTGTGGTGCCTGGTAAGACAGGCGGGCCGAATGTGCCTCCCATTGCTAGTGGGGAGGGTAACAGTGGCCTAGACAGTTCCCCAATGACCCTCCTGCTGCTTCTCCTACCGCTGCTGCTGCTTGCCCTGGAGAAGGAGCAGGATCATCTACAGACTCACCTGATGCAGCACCTGATGCACCTGATAGGGAAACTGGTTCAGTGGCAGCCGATGCGGTCAGTGCACCACCTGCATCCCGAACTCCTCCCTCTCCTGTTCACGCTGGCACTCTAGTGGCTCCTACAGACACACCAACTCCCATCCCAATCCCCACCCAAACCTCCGCTGCCCCATCCTCCCCCTCACCCACCGCCTCCCTTCCCCCTGGACGGCTCTCCCTCGTCCCGACTACGACACTGATTTTGAATATTTCGACAAGGCTTTAACGGGCGGCACGCCCCGGCCTGTAGCGGGCTTCGTCTCCCCCTCAGCCAAGTCCAAGGTGCTGCCACACAAGGGCCGTGGCTGGCTCTCTGATGAAACCACCTGGAAAGACGATCCCTCAGGTTTGGCACCTGGCTCGGGAGGAGGAGATCGGGTGGCAGGAAGTGCATTCGGGTCAAAGGAATGGCCGTGCTGGAACCCAAAGAACAGGTTCGGAGCACTAGGCTTGGCAGGAGGTCCGGGGCTGCCGTCGCCCTCGTCCTTCTCCCCTCGCTCGCTTGCATTCTTCCCTCCTGGCGGCATGGGCATCTATGGGCAGGAGCTGGTGCGGGCTGTGCCCAAGGCACAGCAGCAGGAGGTGGGGAAGGGGCGATTGGGACAGGGATTGGGACAGGGGCAAGGACAGACAAAGGGTAGACTTGGGGCAGCACCCAGCAGCAGCCACAGTGTGGGTGTCACTGGCATGGCGTATCCAGCGCTGGGGGCAGGAGGCGAGGAGGTGGATTCAGCAGGGGGGCTGGGGCTGGAAGGCGAGACTCTGGGGAGTGGGAGTGTGGCCCCTGCGAGGGGAGTGGGTCGCTATGGGGGGGTCTCTCGGGAGGAGCTGCTCACCACGCCTCGTGGTGCCAGGTTGTCGCTTAAACCGCCCTGGGCAACAGGCTCGGATAAATTCGCCAGTGCCAGCTCAGTTGGAGGTTCGGGAGCTAGCTCTGGCAGCAGCAGCAATGGAGGATTGCCCAGGGTGCTGATTAAAGCTGAGGTTTCGGCAAATCATGCTAACGACAGGAGTACACTTTCCACGGTTCAAGACTTGAGCCCTACCGAGGAGTGTACAATGACCCCTGACATCCCTACAACCTGCTCGCTGAATGCGGTCCCAGTGAAGGCCTTCGAAGGCCGCTTTAACAATGACAATGGGTCGTGTAACGGAGCTGATGATCATTGTATTGACGCTAACGGTGGTCTCTCATGTTTGATTCCTGGTCCTGCTTATGCTATGACGCCAAGAGGCCGTGCTCCACCCACGTCCTTTGCTGACTTGGACAAAAAGGGGATGGGTGGTTGGGGCAGGGATGGAGCTAGCAAGGCTCCTCCACTGCCAATGCCAAGTAGAAGGTGATACCAATACTTGATTTGTTCTGACCTTTCAAATAATTTTTGGGATGATGCTGAAAGCAGCCTGCACAAAGGCCCATGTGCAGTGTCAAACATGGATTTCGTTTGTGATGCGAATATTGACAAATATGGGAGATGCTATAATTACAGGTTACACTACATGTACAGAATGTGATTCTTCTTTGAGACACCCTCAGGTCTGGGGGTTTTGGATTGCTTGGATTCGCGATCCACCTGGACGACCACGTCAGAAACAATCGGGACCCTTAATTGGTCCGCGGGCTGTTGTAACATTTCAGGCACATCCTGCACGCTTCGTCTGCTATCCCTTCTGCCACTTCTGTCTGGAATCCCAAGGCCTCAGCCCTCCCTCTCCGGGGTGTGCGACTACATCTTGGGAAAGCACGAGCTTTTCGCTGCTGCAGTTACCACCTTCAACACCTAACGACACGAAGCTTGAGAGCTTGTCGTTGTCGATTGTTCGCGAAAGGGTTCCTGTCGCCTTGGAAGGAGGCAATCCCCCTGCTCTCCAAATTTTATCTAGCTGACCACCTAGATTTATCCTTTTCTCTTTCGTAGGATCCACGCTAGGTTATCGCAACCCTAAGTCCCACTAGTCCTCCTAGGTCACTAGAACCGGTCGTTATCTCCGAACCAGTGTATCGTATCGCCTTACCTGGGGCGGAGTCGTGGAGTTTCACATTCGAAGGCCTCGAGATATCCTGTCTGTCGCATCGAATTTCTGGCTTTCCTTTCCAATTTGCAATATATCTTAAAAATCCGTAAGGTTCACAACTCGCTATAATCAGGCCGTCTTAGGTGGGTCCGAGTGTCATTTTCTTATTCGATCCAGTATGGCGGGTCAAGGCTGGGGCGATGCGGTGGAGGAAGGCCCCATGAATCCCCCCCTACAGCCCGCGCCAGGGGGCCCTGCGCCCTACATGCACCCCCCTGGCGGGCCTTCCGCTCCGGGGGGACCCCGCGGACAGGGACCGATCTTACGTCAGCCGATCGGGTCGTACGTTCCCCCGCACTTGCGTGGCCGCGGAGGAGGCGGGGGGGATTTCGCGCAGCCTGGACCGGGTATGCCGGGGATGGGTCCGCAGGGGGGCCCCGGCCCTGCGCCGGTAGTCTCATGGAATGCGCCAGCAGCGGGAGCTGGCGGATCGTGGGCGGATCAGGCAGGCGCGGCAGGTCCGCCGCCGTACGCGGGGCCTCCGGCTGGCGGCGCATGGAACGGCGCACCCGCAGGCGGAGGCGGCTGGGGCGGTGGCGGAGGATACGGGGGAGGAGGCGGCGGAGGGGCGTGGCAAGGCGGGGGTGGCGGAGGCGGGTTTGGCGGCGGCCGGGGGGGCTATGGCGGCGGGAGACGGGGCGGCGGCGGCGGCGGCGGCGGAGGGCCTTTGGGAGGGTTTAGCGGGTCGGGGGGCGGGCGGGAGGAGGATCCGTTTTCGTCGCAGACTAAGAAGGATTCGGAGGCGGTGTTCGAGGGGCATCAGAACACGGGCATCAACTTCGACGCTTATGAGGACATCCCCGTCGAAACCAGCGGCGACAATGTCCCCCCCGCCATCACCGCCTTCGACGGATCTGGGCTCCTGGTGCGTGGCTGGCACGCGCCTGACGCGTGCTTGACGCGTGCTTGGCGCGTGTGCTCTTCGTTAATGCTCAAGTCTGTCCAAACCAGGCGGCCCAGCATGGCTCAACAACCGATTCCTTTTTTTTCCATTTTTGCTTAACACTTCCTCTTATTTTGCTGCTCCCCCTCATCCTGATGGAGAACGTGCGGCGCTGCAGCTTAATTCCCAGGGTGCAGAATCTTCATCTCTTTTTGCTTTCATCTCTTTCGCTCTTTCCCCGCACCCGCAGCCGGCGGTGATGGAGAACGTGCGGCGCTGCAACTACTCCAACCCCACGCCCGTGCAGCGGCACGCCATCCCTATCTCGCTGGCGGGCCGCGACCTCATGGCGTGCGCGCAGACGGGCTCCGGCAAGACCGCCGCCTTCTGTCTCCCCATAATCTCCGGCATCCTCGCCTCCGGGCCGCCGCCCGACCGCCCCCGCTTCGGCCGCAAGGCGTTCCCGCTCGCGCTGATCCTCTCCCCCACGCGCGAGCTGACCAGCCAGGTGAGAGGCCGGCTGGCGGAGCGACGGGGCAGGTGGGACGCCAGGTGGCTGTCTAGTTGTCTAGTTGGCTGACTCGTTCCGCTTGGCGCTTATTCTGTCCCCCACGCGCGAGCTCACCAGCCAGGTGAGAGGCCGGGTGGACGCTCCTTTCAAAGCTTTCTGAGACTAGATGGTTACGCGAGGAGCCATGTAGAGATTGATTAGACGGAGCACCATGCGCTAATCAGACAGCAAATCCCGCCTCTCTCCCCCCGCATTCCCGCCGCATTCCCCCCTCCCCTCCTCCCCCCACAACCCCCCCCCGCCCGCAGATTCACGCCGAGGCCTGCAAGTTCGCCTACAAGACCGGCCTGCGCGCTGTCGTCGTCTATGGTGGCGCCCCTGCCGGCCAGCAGGTAATCATGTCGTTTGACTGCCGGCTAGCAGGTAACCTTTTTTGCCGAGTGGAATGCATGCTGGCAGGTAATGCAGCGAGGCATCGTGACACTTAGGCGGTGCACTTAGCGAGTGTACAATGGATGTAAGACGAAAACCAAGGAATAGAAGATATGAGTAAGGCAACTGGAGGCGGGTTTTGTGCGGGTAAAAGCAACTGGAAGGAGAAAAACACTAGTTGCTGTTTCGGGCCCTGCCGTTTCCTCTCGCAGCCACAGTATCTGCCATTGCGGCCGCGCGTCTATTCTTCTTAGCTGCAGTCGATGTCTTCCCATTCCTCTCTCACCACTCGCGTGTGTGTTTCCCATGTTTCACTGTGTGTTTCACTGTGCCACATGCACCTGTGTTGTGCACGGCATGTATGTTGGTATGCTTGGCGTGTTCGTTTGATGTGTGTATGTGCGTGTGTCTCTGGGTGTGCGTGTGCGTGTGTCCTGGACGTGTGTGCATGTGTCCTGCACGTGTGTGCGTGTGTCCTGGACGTGTGTGCGTGTGTCCTGGACGTGTGTGCGTGTGCCCTGCACGTGTGTGCGTGTGCCCTGCACGTGTGTGCGTGTGTCCTGCACGTGTGTGCGTGTGCCCTGCACGTGTGTGCTCAGATGCGGGAGCTGGAGAGGGGGGTTGAGATTCTCGTTGCCACGCCTGGAAGGTACTTCCTCCCCCCCCTCCCTCTCCCTCTCTGGCGATTTGCACGTCTGCCTATCTGCTGCCCTGCGTGCCTGCATCTCTCCCGTCCTCTCTTGAGTCGACTCAAAAGCCGCTTTGCATGTCTGCGAGCTGTTGCCCGGCGTGCCTGCATCTCTCCTGTCCTCTTCACATGCCTCCGCTGCTTCCCTACTACAGCCGTGTTGTTATTCCCTATTCCGCTATTTCGTCCTCTGCTGTGTGCGCTGTGAGCCGCACGAGGGCCCTCTCTTCTCACACCCGCTAAACCCTGCCCCCTGACGTGCCCTGCGCGGCCCCACTCCTCCCTCAACCCCGCAGGCTGTGCGACATGCTGGAGCGGGGCAAGTTGTCAATCACCGTCGTGCGCTACCTCGCTCTGGACGAAGCGGACCGACCGCATGCTGGACCCCTGAGAGCAGCCTTCTTCCCTTGCACCCTGCACCCCGACCTCTCTTACCCCTGCCTCCTGGCACCTACAGGCTGTGCAACATGCTGGGGAGGGGCAAGGTGTCCATCACCATGGTGCGCTACCTCGCTGGATGAAGCGGACCGCATGCTGGACATGGGCTTTGAGCCATAGATCCGGCACGTTGTGGAGCAGGAGGGCATGCCTGCTGCAACCCTCTCTCCTCCCGTCCAACCCTCCCTCCTTCACCCACAGGCTGTGCGACATGCTGGAGCGTGGCAAAGTCTCCATCACCATGGTGCGCTACCTCGCCTTGGATGAAGCGGACCGCATGCTGGACATGGGCTTTGAGCCGCAGATCCGGCGCATTGTGGAGCAGGAGGGCATGCCGCCCGCGGGGCAGCGCCAGACGCTCATGTTTTCCGCCACCTTCCCCAAGGAGATCCAGCGCCTCGCCGCGGACTTCCTCGCCAACTACGTGTTCCTCACGGTGGGGCGCGTGGGGTCGTCCACGGACCTCATTCAGCAGCGCGTGGAGTACGTGCCCGAGCACGACAAGCGGTCCGTGCTGATGGATCTTATCCACGCGCACCATACCTCCAACGGCGCTTCTGGGAATGCGGTGAGTGATTGGGGGGACAGAGAGCCAAGGGGGTAGGGGCAATGGGCAACGGGGTTGGGGCAAGGGGCGAGGGGCAAGGGGCAAGGGCAGGGTGGTCCACGGATTCGATTCAGCAGCGCGTGGAGTACGTTCGAGGGCATGATACGGGCTCCGTGCCCATGCACCTGATACACGCACACCACACCTCCAATGGGGTCGTCCAATGGGGTCGTCCAATGGGGTCGTCCAATGGGGTGTCCGGGAATGTGGTGGGTGCTTTGGTTTGGAGTGTGTGTTGAGGGGGGGGAGGGGGGGAGGGGGAGGGGTGAGTTTGAGTGGGCTGGCGCTCATGTTCTCGGCGGAGTTTCGGGCCATTGGGGCGCCGTTGAGCAACGCGTGGGGAGCGTGCCTGAGGGGTTCAGCAACGCGTGGGGAGCGTGCCTGAGGGGTTCAGCAACGACAACAAGCAGTCGGCCCTGATGGACCGGGCCTCGTTTACGCGCACCATTCAACGTATGGCGCTTTGGGCAACCCGGCCAGTGCTACTAAGGGGAGGGAGCAATGGGGAAGTGACACGGATTTTTTTGGTGCCCATGGAATTTATTGAGGGTCTAGGGTTTAGGGTGCTCATCCTTCCTCCTCCCACTCACCCCCCTCCCCCCTGCCTCCACAGGGCGGGCTGACCCTGGTGTTTGTGGAGACCAAGAAGGGAGCCGACTCCCTGGAGGACTGGCTGTGCCGCAACGGCTTCCCTGCCACGTCCATCCACGGCGACCGCTCGCAGCAGGAGCGCGAGTCCGCGCTACGCTCGTTCCGCTCGGGCCGCACACCCATCCTTGTTGCCACCGACGTGGCGGCTCGCGGCCTCGACATCCCGCACGTGAGCCACGTCATCAACTACGACCTGCCCTCGGACATCGACGACTACGTGCACCGTATCGGGCGTACGGGCCGCGCGGGCAAGACGGGGCTGGCAACGGCGTTCTTCTGCGACAAGGACACGAACCTGGCGCGGTCGCTGATCGAGCTCATGGCGGAGGCGAACCAGGAGGTGCCCGGGTGGCTGCAGAACTTTGCGTCGCGGTCAGGGTATGGCGGGGGTAAGAGCAGACGAGGCGGCGGGGGGAACCGGTTTGGAGGGAGGGATTTCAGGAAGGAGCGAGGGGGAGGGGGAGGCGGTAGGGGGGTATGGGGGAGGGGGGTACGGAGGCGGGGGGTATGGTGGAGGAGGAGGGTATGGAGGTGGGTACGGTGGGGGCGGAGGGGGATATGGTGGCGGCGGTTACGGCGGCGGTGGCGGTGGTTACAACAGTGCACCTCCTAGTGCGTGGGACTAGGTGGGTGTGCAGTCTGCCACCTGCCCTCGCGACCCAAGGAGTGGGCTTGGGGGGAAGGGGAGGGGATGGTGGGCTGTGCCGCTTGAGTGGACGTATTGGATCGGAGTATGGCATCACTAGTACACTGTGCGAGGTTTCTCAGGTTTCTCTGTAGTGGACGTTTCTGTTGGGAGTATGATCGTTGTTCTCCAGCTTGCTACCACCGCTGCTGCTGCTGCTGCTGCCGCTGCCACCGCCCCCACTAATGCTCTTGTGAGGGCAGCAGTCCTCTTGTGAGGGCAGCAGCCCCCACTGATGCTCTTGTGAAGGCAGCGAGTTGACCCTGCCTTGCTGCTGTGGGAGCTGTAGGAAGGTGCTTCAAGAGGGGGCTCTTAAATGGAGTCCACACCGCCTCTCATTCGCCGATATCTCTGCAGTCTACGGGTCATGCAGTGAAGGTGTTGCTGGAGACGTCTGCTGCTGCGCCATGCAGCTGACGCCCGGCAGGCGGCTCAAGTCCTGGTCAAGGGACCACCCGGTTGGGGCATCTCAGAACTGACCCGGTTTGGGGTGTCAAGTCTGGGCTGGGGTCTCTGCGGCTCAAGCAAGGGTCAGAAGAAGCAGCAGTAGCCTTGGTAGAGAGGGCTTTGGGGTCTTTGTCTGGACTTCGTTGCGACCTGCCTTTTCCCACCCCCCTTTCCCCTCTTCTCTCACCCAGCCCCCCCCCCCTCTCACCTTCTCTTGCCATTCCCTCACTCTTGCATGTGTCAAGCATGCCGCCAGCTTCCATCCTTAGCCACTTCGTTTCTAACCAGAACTAAGGGCAGCATGGAATTGGGGTAGGCAGATCTGCCTGGGTCTTGTTCCTGGGCTTTTGGGCGGAGGGTGCTAGAGCACAGGCAATGTCTCTTCCTTCTAGGCATAGGCTTGGGGACGAGCCTTGTAAAGCCATGTACCCCATGGCTTTTACAGGGCCTTGTCTCTGGGCCCTCCCGAGGTTCGGATGGGCTCTCCGTTCTGGGCCTGCCTGGGCCAATATGGTTTGCTACCTACTTGCCTCTGTGCTTGTGTCTCCCGTACCTACGCCTTGGGTCCTGCAGAGTCTGCCTCTGCCTCAATTTTGATTAGGCTGGGTCTAGACCACCTGAAGTGGAACTTGATGACATTCCTCTCTTAAAGTGCCAATTTACTAGTTTTGTTCTGTTATTCACTCGATTTTTTCCTCAATGTGATTGGATTGGTGTCACAGTGTAGCGGGGTAAATCCTCCGCAATCGCGTTCCTCGGGCAAGCCGATGTAGCCGATTTCGAAGCATTAGAGCCGTTCGATCTTGAAATCGGACGACTACTAAGTTATCGAAACGCCCGAATTTCTGCCCCAAATCTCTAAACGCGTTCCCTACCAGTTCACCCTGCCGCAATGTGCGCTACGGGCAATCCCAATGTCCGCCGTTCATTCCAATGCCCGGCTGGCGCTCCCACTCCCACCTGCACCAAGCGCGCAAGAGAGTAAAATGTGCGCCCAATCCAAAACCTGCATCTAGCGCGCAAGGGAGTGAAAGCTGCGCCCCTACCGCCACCTGAATTTGCGTTGCAGTTTCGCACGGCGTACGAAAAGTGGCGCTGGGAGGCTCTTCCGCCTTTCTTCACGAAATCGGAGGACGAGGCTGGCAGGGAGGGACTGACCAAATTATCTCTCCTCAACCGCTCGCATGCGGCCAGTCTTATTGGTTCTAATCTCTTTTCCGACACAGATCCCCCTTGACAGTCAAGCACATAGCGACCGAGCGCCTGGTTTCTTCGACTGAACGCACGTTAGTCTCCATTGCCCACTAGCTGCCTACTCTCACTAACCCGATCAAACTCCCCCGCGCCCTCGTCTCTCTCAATTCCCTCCCCGTAGATAGTTCATACTCCTCCGACTTGCCACAAGACGTTAGCGCGTCGCATTATATGAGTCCCCCTGCTATTATTTATTTATATTCGCAGTATAGCAGTCCAGCTACGCGAGGGGCCACGGGGTCTACCGTTTGACCTCCCACGCTCGGGTAACGCGTTTCCTGTGAGCCGACCCTAAAGGGGAAGAAGCGCGCCGAGGCAGCGCGTTGGGCCTTGTGCCAACTCCGGTGGGCTCACTGGACGCCCCGTTTGACGCTCACTGCCAGCCGTAGATTCGCATCTGCGCCGGCTTCACGCGGTCGTTGTGACGGGTACCCGACTGTGCCAGCTGGGCTGAAGTTCTGAGAACTCTCGGTAACTTATTGAACTCTCCCCAGCAGGAAGTTAGCGCGGAAGGACGATTAGGTGCGGCTGACGGGCGGACGGGCCCCTCCCGCTTGAATTCTCCATGATAGACTGTGGCTCTCCCCCAGGGAAGAGCTTTCGTTCCGCGCCCACCGCTTGACTTCCCCTTGATAGTGGCTCTCCCAAGCAAGAGCATGAGTGCCCAGTCCTACTAGCAATCAAAGTGCTACTGCAACGTTTTCGCACAGCCGTGCAAGCTGTCACAGACAGTCAGTAGTCCACAAAACTAGTGAACGATTTCCATTGCTCTAGAAGCACTTTACCAAGAGCCGTAATCCGCACATGCACTTGCATTAGGAATCTTGGAAGAGCCTCCATGAGAGGAATAAGCGGCCTTCCTTTCGAATACGCACTTCGTTGACGTTCCTCTTACCCAAGTGAATTCTGCCTACACGGCATTACACCGCAATACACCTCCACCGACAATAGTTCACCGAAATACGTTCAAAATTGTCTGGATGCTGATGCTGATGCTGACGCGGCATAGACTGGCGGGGTGAACACAGTACGGCTGGCGCTGTACGGGGGGCTCAACGGTACTTCCTAGTAGGAGTAACGAAAGGACAGAAAAGCGGACGAGTGTGCACCGTGAAACCCCTGTGAGAGTGAGAGAGACCGCGTCGAATCGCACAGTACCGCCCTGCATCCGCTAATAGGAGCCGAAACACCCCAGCAGCCGAACAACTCAAACAGCCGAAGCTGCCGAATCAACGAATCAGCAAGGAGCAGCCGGCGGTGACGGCTGACGGCATGACGGCGATGACTAGGCGGCAGCGGCAGCGGCAGCGGCAGTGGCAGTGGCTGCGGCAGTGGCAGTGGCCCCAAGGTGCCGTGCCGCTGTCGACCCTCCTGCTCGCCCTATCGCTGCCCACCTGCCCCCACGCCCTCGCCTCGCACGCCGATGAGCCATGAAGCTAGAGCCTTGGCGTGCACTTTTCTTCATCGCACCGCGCTACAGCCATGGAACCTCGTGTGCACTTTTCTTCCACCTCCATTTTTGCCCACTTTTCAGGGCGACTTCCTCCGTCTCGCCAAGATCCTCTCTCTGCACCTTCAACGCCCTCTTTCGCCAACTTCTTTCCCATCGACGCACTCCGTTCACCCCTACTCTTCCATGACCCCCCCCCCCTGCCGACTCTCCCCCTCGGCTGACTCCCCCCCTTTGCTGACTCCCCCCCTCGGCTGACCCCCCCCTCTGCTGACCCCCCTCCTCTGCTGACTCCCCCCCTCTGCTGACTCCCCCCCTCTGCTGACTCCCCCCCTCTGCTGACTTCCCCCCTCTGCTGACTCCCCCCATCCGCTCCCATGTTGCTGCAGGGCGGGCCAGACCACCGCGCCGAATGCTGGATCAGATCCCCCTTCGTGAGCCCTCGCGACCCTCCGCTCCCCTCCACTCCCTTCCACTCCCCTCCACTCCCCTCCTCTCTCCTACCCTCCGATCCTCTGCCTTCCTCTGCCCTCCTCTGCCCTCCTCTGCCCTCCTCTGCTCTCCTCTGCCCTCCTCTGCTCTCCTCTGCTCTCCTCTGCCCTCCTCTGCCCTCCTCTGATCTCCTGTGCCCTCCTCTGCCCTCCTCTGCTCTCCTCTGCCCTCCTCTGCCCTCCTCTGCCCTCCTCTGCCCTCCTCTGCGCCGGTCTGCTCCGTCTCTTCCCCTCCCCTCCTTTCTCTCCGCTCTCGCCACTCTCAACCGCCCTGCATTTCCGTCCGGCCCTCTCTCTCGTTTGCTCTTACCATCAACCCATCTCATCATCCGACCCTCTCCTTCCCTCAATCTCTCTTTTTCCTGCATATTCCTCCCCTCACCCCTTACCTCACTCCCCCCTTCTCTCCCCCATTCTCTCCCCTTCTCCCTACCCTGCTCCCCCCTGCTCGCCCCGTGCGCCCAGCGGACGGTCTCATCGTTCTCATCATCACGACGGCCGTGCTCTTCCTCGTCCTCGTCATCCTCGTTGTAGTCTACTGCGCCACAAGACGGCGCGGTCAGTCCTCTGGCCACCCCTGTCGGTGACTTTTGAGTCGACTCAAAAGTCACCCCTGTCCTACCCTCCATGTAACCGTGTTGCTGTGTTGAAGTGGTTCCGTTCTCCGTGCGTTCAGCGTTCCCTCTTGCCTCTTGACACCTCTCTCGACATAAGCAACCACATCCCATGGGCACCATCACATCCCATGGGCTCGACCACATCCCATGGGCTCGACCACATCCCATGGGCACCACCACATCCCATGGGCACCACCACATCCCCTGGGCACCACCACATCCCATGGGCACCACCACATCCCATGGGCACCACATCCCACTGCCATTCTTTTGCCCCCTCTCCTCCCCTCCCCTCCCCTCCCCTCCCCTCCCCTCCCCTCCCCTCCTCCCACCCAGCGGTCCGAACTACCCCTTTGAACGGCAAGGCGACGGGCATACACAGCGACAGCGACGACGAGGAGGAGGGGGAGGTGGGGGGCGGGGGGGGAAAGCACCCGGCGGTAGAGCAGTGGACCTGGGAGGAGGTGGAGGCGGCCACTGAGGGCTTTAGCGAGGAGCGCACTATCGAGGACGCAGGGCACTCGGCGGTGTTCAGAGCGGTGGGGCGCAATGGAGAGGAGCTGGCTGTGAAGCTTGCCAAGCGCGTGTCGGTGGAGGGGCAGCACCTGTTCCGCAACCAGGTGGGCTACGGTTCGGATGGACGCAACCAGGTGGGCTGAGCTTCTGGCTCCTTCTGGCTCCTTCTGGCTCCTTCTGGCCCCTTCTGGCTCCTTCTGGCTCCTTCTGGCTCCTTCTGGCTCCTTCTGGCCCCTTCTGGCTCCTTCTGGCTCCTTCTGGCTCCTTCTGGCTCCTTCTGGCTCCTCCTGGCTCCTTCTGGCTCCTTCTGGTTCCTTCTGGCTCCTTCTGGCTCCTTCTGGCTCCTTCTGGCTCCTTCTGGCTCCTTCTGGCTCCTTCTGGCTCCTCCTGGCTCCTCCTGGCTCCTCCTGGCTCCTCCTGGCTCCTTCTGGCTCCTTCTGGCTCCTTCTGGCTCCTTCTGGCTCCTTCTGGCTCCTTCTGGCTCCTTCTTGTCTCCCCATGACGGCCCTCAGGCGGACTTTCTACGCGGCATCCACCATGGGCGCATTGTCTCCCTCCTGCCATACAGCGACGACTGCAAAGCAACCCCCTTCTGCGCCATCCCCCCATGATGCTCCTCCGCGCTCATGTGTCTCTCAGGTGGACTTCCTAGCCGGCATCCACCATGCGCACATCGTCTCCCTGCTGGCATACAGCGACGACAACGGCGAGCAGGTGCTGGTCTTCGCGTTCAACCAGATTCAACCCACATCTTCCCCCCCCATTGCCCATTACCTCAGGTGGACTTCCTGGGCGGCATCCACCATGCGAGCATCGTGTCGCTCCTCGCGTACAGCGACGACAACGGCGAGCAGGTGCTCGTCTTCGAGTTCGTCCCCAACGGCTCCCTCGCGGACTGGCTGCGGCCGCCTCATGGTGAGCTGCTTTATGCATGTAGGAAGAAGGTGTGTGTACCCTTCTGAGGGCGGGCTGCTTCGTGCATGTCTCTGGATGTATGCATGCTTGTCTCTGGATGTATGCATGCTTGTCTCAGAATGAATGCGTATTCCTGCAGTGGTCTGAGTTCATGCCCCACTCCTCCCTCTCACTTCTCCTCCTCACCCAGTCTCCAAGCCACCCCTGACATTCGCCCAGCGGCTGGACATTGGGGCGGAGGTGGCACGGGCGATCAAGTACCTGCACTGCAAGACGCCGCCCGTGCTGCACCGCGATATCAAATCCGATACGGTTCTGCTGGACAACGACTTCAAGGTACACTGTGCCCTCCTTTTAGGTCGACTCATTATCTCCTTGATGGCTGTAGTCCCTAGAGGCTATGTTGACGTGCGCACCAGACTCAACAGCCTGAAGCTGGGAGGCGTGAGCGTGCTGAGGCACCTGCCAAGAGAGGCCATGCGGCTGGGGCAGTAGCCTGACTCCAACCCATATGGTTACTCTGTTACTGTTACTATGTTACTCTTTCTGTGCACTGGCTGCAGGACAAGCTGGGGGCCTGGGCGTGCTAAAGCATCTGCCTGGGGAGGCGATGCGGCTGCGCACGCAGCGCAAGCAAGGGTACTTCCAATCGAGAGCTTGGATACATTGCCCCCCTTTGAGCCCTGGATTCGTAATACTGATTCCCGATCCCGAATGCTCCCAGAGCTTTCGCATCACCAGCCTCCCTCTCTCCCTCGCATTGCTACTTTCAACGGCAGGTCAAGCAGGGCGGCCCGGGGGTGTTAAAGCACCTGCCAGGCGAGGCGATGCGGCTGCGCCGCTCTGACTCCAGCTCAGATTGCTTACTTTGATATTCTGTGACTCCCTGTGTGCTCTGACTGCAGGTCAAGCTGGGGGGCCTGGGAGTGTTAAAGCACCTCCCAGGGGAGGCGATGCGGCTGCGCATGCAGCGCAAGCGAGGGTACCTGGACCCCGAATACTTCCAGAGCTTCCGCATCACCAGCAAATGCGATGTGTACAGGTGGGCCGTGTTCTTGTGTACAGGTTGGGCCGTGTTCATGTGTGCAGGTTGGGCCGTGTTCATGTGTGCAGGTGGGCCGTGTTCTTGTGTGCAGGTGGGCCGTGTTCTTGTGTGCAGGTGGGCCGTGTTCTTGTGTGCAGGTGGGCCGTGTTCTTGTGTGCAGGTGGGCCGTGTTCTTGTGTGCAGGTGGGCCGTGTTCTTGTGTGCAGGTGGGCCGTGTTCTTGTGTGCAGGTGGGCCGTGTTCTTGTGTGCAGGTGGGCCGTGTTCTTGTGTGCAGGTGGGCCGTGTTCTTGTGTGCAGGTGGGCCGTGTTCTTGTGTGCAGGTTGGGCCGTGTTCTTGTGTGAGGTGGGCCGTGTTCTTGTGTGAGGTGGGCCGTGTTCTTGTGTGCAGGTGGGCCGTCTTCTTGTGTGCAGGTTGGGCCGTGTTCTTGTGTGAGGTGGGCCGTGTTCTTGTGTGAGGTGGGCCGTGTTCTTGTGTGCAGGTGGGCCGTGTTCTTGTGTGCAGGTGGGCCGTGTTCTTGTGTGCAGGTGGGCCGTGTTCTTGTGTGCAGGTGGGCCGTCTTCTTGTGTCCAGGTGGGCCGTCTTCTTGTGTGCAGGTTTGGCCGTCTTCTTGTGTGCAGGTTGGGCCGTGTTCTTGTGTGAGGTGGGCCGTGTTCTTGTGTGCAGGTGGGCCGTGTTCTTGTGTGCAGGTGGGCCGTGTTCTTGTGTGCAGGTCGGCCGTGTTCATGTGTGCAGGTGGGGTGGGACCGAGATCGCATGTGTGGGTGGTAGGTGCAGTTTAGCACTTGTTTTTCTTTTTTAAGTTTCCTCACTATGCTGACTCCCATTGTAGGAGGCATCCACATTGAGCGGCCTGGCATCGACCAACCACCTGGAGTTGATTACAGCAATACTCTCGATGTGAGGTTGAAGACGACTACTCATATTCCATAGGAGCCCCTCGCTTATATACACCCCATCTCCTTATCAGTTTCGGAGTGGTGCTGCTGGAGCTGATCACAGCGAAGCCGCCTATAGTGGATGAGAAGGACGTTGTCATGGGGTCACGCACCGGCAAGCGATTTGTCACCCTCGTGCAGTGGGTGAGTTGCGCTGTAACACCTGTAGGTGACTTTTGAGTCGACTCAAAAGTCACCCTCGTGCAATGGGTGAGTTGCGCTGTAACACCTGTAACACCTGTAGGTGACTTTTGAGTCGACTCAAAAGTCACCCCCGTGCAGTGGGTGAGTTACGCTGTAACACCTGGCTTTACTGCAATGCCTAGTTGCGCCGCATTCAAGCTGGTTACACGGCAGATGCTTCCAAATTCAACCAGAGACGCCTCAAAACAACCCTCTCCACATGCTTAAACCTTCTCCGCCCCCAGCAAACCACCACCTCCCTCACGTGCGACCATTCCAGTCCCTTCCAAAGATCAAGGACGGCCAGTTCACCGACATTGTGGACGAGCGGCTGTGGAGACCCTGCGAGCCTGATGGAGATCTTCTGCGGCATCGCTGTGGAGTGCGCTGAAGCTACTTTCAGATTCAGCCAGAGACACCTCAAACAAACTTTCCCTCGCACATAATCCCTCTCCGTCCCACCCAACCAAACCACCACCCATTTTCCGTGCTACCGCCACCCCCTCTCCTTTCCCTCTCAGGCCCTTCCAAAGATCAAGGACGGCCAGTTCACCGACATTGTGGACGAGCGGCTGGAGCCGTACCCTGCGAGCCTGATGGAGATTTTCTGCGGCATCGCTGCAGAGTGCGTGACCCCGCAGCGCCGGCACCGCCCCGACATCGACGTGGTCGCCTTCTGGATGGACGAGCTCGTCAAGAAGGACGCCGCATCGCGCGAGTCGCTCTCCCGCTTCGTGCGAGCAGTGTCCGTGGAAGAGGAGGCGGAGGTGGAGAAGGTCGAGGGGGAGGAGGGGGTGGGTAAGGAGGAGAGGGAGGGGGAGGAGAGGAAAGAGGTGGTGGTCGTGGTGTCCGACGAGGCTGATAATGGCGAGAAAAGTGGCGATGGGAGTGAAGAGGGGCAGAAGGATGGTGCTGCTCCTAGAGATGGAGCTCCACTTGCTGCTGTTTCTGTTGGTCCTGGTGGTGCTGTTGGTGGTGCTGTTGGTGGTGCTGTTGATGTACGTGCTGCTGAGCCAGATATTGGCACTAGTGGGGGTGCTACTGCTGACACCTCTGCCACTGCTGCCGCTGCTGGTGTTGGTGCTTAGGCTTGCATTGTGGTTGATGGTATGATAGCAGTGGGTTTTGGGGCCAGTTGGGAAAGAGATTGTCTGGTTATGCGTAGAGGACTGCTGGAGTTGTGCTGTATATGATAATCAAAACAAGGTTTCTTGTGGTAGAGAAAGTGGATACTGTCAACATATATTTTGTATATGCTATAGGCTAGATAGGTGCATGCTCATAGTCAATCTTTCTACTCTTAGATGGTATCACGCTAGGTTAGGATCCCGCCCACCCGCGCTTCCGCCCTAGTCCCAGCCCTAGCCCGAGTCGCCCGTCGCTAGCCGCCCATTCCTAGCCGACCGTCGCTAGCCGCCGCTGCTAGCTGCGTGCCGCCCGTCACCCGTAGCTGCCAGCCGCCCGTAGCCGCTGGCCGCCCGTCGCCGCCAGCCACCCTTAGCCGCCAACTGCCCGCTGCCCGTCGCTGCTGCCCGTAGCCGCCAGCTGTCCGTAACCCGCTGGCCGCCTGTCGTCGCTGGCCGCCCGTAGCCGCCAGCCCACTGGCCGCCCGTAGCGGCCAGCTGCCCGTAGCCCACTGGCCGCCTGTCGCTGCCCGTAGCCGCTGGCCGCCTGTCGCAGCTGGCCGCCCATAGCCGCCAGCCGCCCGTAGCCGTTAGCCCGCTGGCCGCCCGTCGCCGCCAGCCACCCTTAGCCGCCAGCTTCCCGCCGCCCGTCGCTGCCGCCCGTAGCCGCCAGCTGCCCGTAGCCCGCTGGCCGCCTGTCGCCGCTGGCCGCTCGTAGCCGCCAGCCCGCTGGCCGCCCGTCGCCACCAGCGGCCCTTAGCAACCAGCTGCCCGCCGCCCGTAGCCACCAGCTGCCCGTAGCCAGCTGGCCATCTGTCACCGTCCGTAGCTGCTGGCCGCCTGTCGCCGCCCGTAGCCACCAGCTGCCCGTAGCCAGCTGGCTGCCCGTCGCCGCCCGTAGCCGCTGGCCGCCCGTAGCCGCCAGCCGCCCGTAGCCGCCAGCTGCCTGTAGCCCGATGGCCGCCCATTGCCGCCAGCCCGCCCGTAGCCGCTGGCCGCCCGTTGCCGCCAGCCGCCCGTCGCTGCTGGCCTCCCGCTGCCACCAGCCGCCCGTAGCCGCTGGCCGCCCGTTGCCGCCAGCCCGCCCGTAGCCGCTGGCCCCCCTGTAGCCGCCCGCCCGTCGCCAGCCGCCGCTCGCTCACCGCCGGCCGCAGCTCCGCCGGTCCCAGCCCGCCCCGACCCTTCCCAACACTGAGCCGAGCTGACCCGCCGGCCTTGGCTTCCCCTCTGAGCCGGCACTCCCGTCGGCAGTCTCCACCGCACTCCACCGCATTCCACCGCACTCCACCGCACTCCACCATTCCCCACTGCTCTCCACCGCTCTCCACCGCCCTCCTCCGCTTTCCCTCCTCCACTTGTCAGCGGCAGTCAACTGCTGCAGCTGTGGTGATGGCAGACTCACTGCTCCGCCTGGAAGTGGAGGGGCTGGCCGTTGAGTTTAAGACGTGGCTCGTCGACCTCCGCCGCCAGCTGACCGGTCAGCGCCAGGACGGCCACTCCCTTACCGTCCATGTCGACCGTACAGTGGCGGAAACAATTGTCCACATGTTTAGCATATTTTTACATTTTGACGAGCTGTACGCTATAAACATTAAGCCTTTATTTATGGTGGCCATACATGTAGAGAGGAGCAGTTAGAGCAGTCATGGCCACCATGAATTAAGGCTTAATGTTTATAGCATACAGCTTGTCAAAATATGTCCACATGCTAAACATGTGGACAATTGTTTCCGCCACTGTAACTCCCTCGCCCCGCCCCGCCTGCTGCCCTCCCTGCTGCCCCCACGCCTGCTGAGTGTGAGGCGTTTGTCGCTGCTGAGCTTGCTTGAGCTGTCTGGGAGTCGCACGACGTCGTTGCATAGCTTGCCATTAGTTACACCCTCCCCCTGTCTGAGCGTCCCCGCTTTACCGCTATAGCAAACGCCAGATGCAATCATCACATGCTATTCCACCCCGCCTCAGTCTCAGCCTCTACTAGTCCGACCACTAGAAAAGCCACAAGGCCAGTCTGGAAGACATAAATATAAAGGAGTACACAATCAAGGGCCGAGCAAGTGAGAGTCTAAAAGGACTACACCTAGCTGCAAGCAATGCCGCTGATGATCTTGAGGCGGAAGCACCTTAGTAAAGATATCAGCTGTGTTGGCACCGGAGGCCAAGTGTACTACGCGGGCCTGGCGATGCTGCTGGAGCTCGCACTGGAGGAAGTACCGCAGCTGGATGTGCTTCACTCTGCCCTCAAGTCGAGGCTCCTGACACAGATCTCAGCCTCACAGCTAGACTCGGCAACAGACAAGGAGCGAGTGGACCTCCACGAGATGGCACCCGAACCAAGGCTAAAGCACTAGCCCTCGGAGGACCTGAGGGTCTCAGTGTCGTCTGCCCAAGAAGCGTCTGTGTGCCCAGTAAGGACCACTGGCCTGCGTCCTCCGAGCACTAGCCCCATGCCCAATGTACTCGCAAGATAACGCAAGACCCTCTTAGCGGCCGACCACTGCTGTGGTCGGTTTCTGCCTGTGGCCACGAAGCGGGCCAGGATGCTGAAAGGGTATGCGAGATCTGGACGAGTGCAAGTCATCAGGTACATGAGGCAACCCAAGTGTGACTGAACTGAAGACCGAACCTCTGAGGGACCTGAAGCACCAAGTGTGACTGTGTAAGAGTGATGGTGCGCACTGCTCGGTCCCTGGAGATCTGCAGACCAAGGTAGCGGCGCAGCTCTCCCAGGTCAGTGCAGGAGTGTCTATTAGCAGCTCAGCCTTCACGGAGGCCACTGCGTCTCTGTCTGCAGTAGCGAAGACCAGGTCGTCGACGTAGACAAGGATGTAGAACGGAGTCTGGCCAGCATGAACAAAGAGTGAAAGTTCAGCAGAGGACGGAAAGAACAACAGGTCAGCTAGCATGGCACGCAGCGTGTCACAACGTGTCGTGCCACTTACGGGGCCACCTATCGCAAGCCGTAGACGGGGCGCCGGAGGAGCCACTGGGTCCTAGGAGGGAAAGTACCGGTGAAGCCCTGAGGGCGGCACAGGTAGACCTGCTCGTGTAGGCTGCCCTAAGGAATGCAGTGGAGAAGTCGAGGGAGTGAAGCTCGTAGTCACGCTGTGCTGCTACGTGTAGCAGCGCCCGAAGAGTAGTCATCTTCGGTGTGAGAGTACGACCCCGTTACACCAATTTCCCCTTTTCATATTTCCTCTCTATTTCATTCCTCTTTTTATCCTCGTTCATTTGGTTTCCTATTCCTCCTTTTCCATTATCCTTTGGTTTATCCTGTTATTATAATTATATCACCGACCAAGCTCGGGATGTACTGGCGCGCTATATCTAGCGTAATCCTGCAGTAATCCCTTATAGCCAATAGCCTCGCGTGGCTATACGCAGGGTGATTCTATTTCTAGAAGGGTCTATTTCCTTTGGATAGGATAAACCTGGTTACCTGATGTACTATGGAAGTATAAAAGCACCTTGTACTGATTGATAGTGGAACATTGAGCAAACCTTTCCTCGACACATTTGATCCTGTGACACTTGGTTATCAGAGCCAAGGTTTCAGCTCAACGCTTAACAGCTGGGCCCCCAGGAGCACGCCGAGGATGGAGTCGAAACTTCTATTCCTGTAAGTACAATGCACTTTCATTTAAGTTTCGACTCACTCTCGCAGTTGCACCTGGGGTCCCCTTCGAAGGCGAGATGCCTCGCCAACCGTTCGATGGACTGCATCGACGGAGCCGATTTTTTCGCGGGGGCAAACGGCCTCGACCTGGCGAGCGCGTCAGTCCCGGCGGAACACTCCCTGCGACATTCGGAGAAGTTCGCAGTTCGCGACAACACTTGGAGATGCGCGGAACTCTGCGGAGGTTCGACCGACGACATCCGTCCGATGGAGATTCGACGCTTCAGATCGACCGAGGCGAAAACGAAATCCATCTGAGCGAGTTTGCGTTTCGGCGCGAATGGGAACGGGACCTGGCAAGCCGCGAAGTTCTTCAGAGCGTCCGATCGTTCGACAGCCGACATCGACGACCGAGAATTGCTGCAGGAAACGAGTCAACCCGTGCACCGAAAGCTGCTGAACGTTACTCAGGAGGTTCCTCAGATCGCTTGGAGTTTGGACCGTCGGATCGACTTCTACTTCAACAGACGAGATGGAGCGCGACTTCTGCACGAAGGGAGAATAACGCGCAGAACAAAACATAAGCCGCCTTCGACACCGTCGACAACATTTGGACAACCAAATTCGGATTCCTCCATTTGGTGACGAATATGGTGCGCAAATCATCTGCAGAGTCAGAAATCTGCCCGAGTATTACCTACTTGGTAATATCTGCATGCAGAAAAATGACAGGAGAACGTGGATCGTCGGATCGGTGCGGAATCAACGGCACGAATGCAGCGGAGACTACACTATGGGAAAACATCACAATGGAGACAATATTCGTGACCAGCGACTGCACAATCGACGCATCTTCTGACTAGTGTCGACAACGATTGATTTATTTTGACGAAGTCATCTTCGTTAAAAATGGATCGACATCAACACAACGGATCTTCAACTAGGAAAAAAATGGAGCTGCGTGAAGACATGTTCTCCATCCATGAGTCACTTCTTCAGACAAATTGATCGACAAGCTATGGGATTGCAGAGAAGTAGCCGTTTTCTCTTGCAATGCTCCCAAGTTCAAGTTGCTGCGAAAGAGCAGATTTCGCACGCAACGACGACGCAGTGAACCCGTCTCGTCAAGGCCAGCGAGACACTACTTCTTAACAGGAGCTGACCGATTCGTCTTCATCAAGAATCTCAGCCATCCGAAGTGATTGATTGGAGCAGTCTCAACATCAACCTCACGAGGCGACACACCAATCATGCGTCGCGATTCCAGGTGTTAATGACCTGCGTGGAAGAAAATTCCGTGCACGTCACGATGCTTGACAGATTGAGGAGTAATTAACCTCTAATCCGGCAAGTACTCGTTCACTAGCGACCCTACGGCACATGCATTGGAGGCGATTCTACTAGAAGCCGAAGCGTTACAAGCACCAACTTAACTTCGACGATGCAGGAGAACGTCAAGCAACATGAGGTGTCAACA